ATCTTGGGCGTTCGACCATTTTTTTGCGAAAAAAAAAGCCCTACAAATCGATTTTTAGGGCTTTTTAACATGAAATTGGTTCCGTAATCGACCTACCCAATGCATATTACACATAAAAGAGTCAAAATTACATCAAAAAATCGAAGCCCAATCCTTCTTCAAGCTTGATTTCGAATTTTCGAATGTTTTTTTCTTTTTTTTTGCTATTTGCAGTTTTGGGGATTTTTTTGATATTTTTAAAAGTTTTGGTGGGGTTTTGTTAGAAACCACAAATAGCAATTTTGTGACCGCAAATAGCATTTCTGGAAAATATTGATACTAGTTCAGCTTTCCTTGATGTTTTGGCCGTGTCAATGCCCAATTTTAAACTGCATACACTGGTACACGTTGTATCATTTTTTTAGTAAACTGTAAAAATACCTCTGTAATCTCCAAATAGCAAAATCCTCTTTATAATAAATAAATTAGCAAAATCCTCCCTATAAAATTATTTATATAGCAAACTCGATCCATTATTCATTTAAGTGTTGATTTGATATAAAAAGACACAAATATCCCTGAGATTTTGCAATTAATAAATTCTTATATTTTATAAATATTTTAATTATTTTATTTTTATTTTATCTTAATTAGAAAAGTACAATTGAGTCTTTTATTTCTATTTTATTATCAAATAATTTATGTATATATTTTAAATTATCCATACATCTAAAGAAAACTTAAATTCCATTATTATGTATTTCTTTATTTTGTATTTAAAAAACATACACTTAATTTGAACACCAAATTTTTAATATTTTCTCAATTTAATTGTTTACTAACTTTTTAATAATACGTTAATTTTTAAACAATGGAATTAAAAAGAAGATATATATATATATATATATATATATATATATACATATAATATATATCCATATAAAAATACATTTTGAAGGACAATTTTGTCATTTCATATACAAAAATCAGCTAGTAGCCGCACATCCAATGAGTGAGCCATACGAATTTCAACCGTGAAGTCTCTGCCTTCGATTAAAATGTCACAGGGGTTTTTTTAGTTTATTTATCACAACTTTTTTTTTTGCTATTTAAATATTACACACATCTACTTTTTGCAGTTTACTCCATTTTTTTATACGGTTGACTTCTTGCAAAAAGTATTTTCATATCAAAATTTCTATTAACTTTTTATTAAATCATCAACTTTGAATACTTTTCAATCCAAATAAATAAATTTTAATTATATTCATGTCATCATCGTTCTGTAAGATGAAGTTTTGCCTCGTCAAAAGCAATCTGGATTGACTCCAATCCCTATTAATTGCACTGCATGTTGTACCTTGATATATTATCATTTCATGTGGTTGACCTTTTCACATCTCTGCAAAGCCAGCTTTCTTTATATACTACTAACAATTGACAGAAACCAAATGCCACCTCCATATTAATCATTTCATCAGCAAATGCTTATGCTAAAGAGTTATCCAATTTCGATATGGCTTATGCTGCTGTGATTTCTCTTAAGCAGACAATCGAGCGCCTTTTAAAATCATCGCATATTCCGGTTGTCCTAAATCCCTCTCCAAGAATCGTAGAACTTTTGTACGAGGAGGTTTGTTCCTTGCAAGAAGTTCTCAAAGAATTGGATAGCAGCAGCCACAACGACAGATCAGAGACGTGTTGTACGAATTCGAAGATGTAATAGAATCCCGTGTCTCGAATCAGTTTCTTTCTCAATCACCTGATTTGCATCCACTGTCGTTCTCCCTCGACCTGCAAGAAGTACAATATATATATATCCATTCATTGAAAAAGTGAAGAAGATGAAGAAGGCTTACGTAGAAGAATTGCACAACCCGTTGCCGCGTGAAGAAGATGATCACGCCGCTTCGTCAGAAATTGATCTTGGTGGAAACAAGTCTTACATGGTTGGAATTTCTGATCTATATCAAACAGTCATTTACGATGTTTTGTACGATGATGAGATCCGAACTGTCTCACTGTATGGGGCGGCTGGGGTCGGCAAGACTACTCTTGCCAAAGAAATTTGTGAAGATCCATCAATTTTCGAATGCCGTGCGTTTGTCACGATAGGCCCGAAATATCAATTGAAGGAAATACTGAAATGTATTCTAGCTCAAGTTGATCCCGACTGTGATAAATTGCTCGTGGAGGAAGATGAGGAGGTACTATCGAAGTACGTGTACAGAAGTTTGAATTGTTGGTTATTGTACCTCATTGTGTTGGATGATGTATGGGACTTGCAGGTCTGGCATGAGTTGAAACGGTCCTTTCCGGATGAAGAAGAAGAATCTGAAGGTCGATTCTTGCTGACAACTAGGTCACGAGAGGTAGCCGAGTCTTGTTTCGCTGGTCGTGCTTTTGAAGTGCCCTTTCTGGATAAAGCAGAAAGTTGGAATCTTCTTCGTCAGAAGATGTTTTCCTCTCCTCAGCTTGAGGAAGTCAGAAGAAAGATTGCTGAGCTTGAGGAAGTCGGAAGAAAGATTGCTGAGAATTGCGAAGGCCTTCCTCTTCTAATCGTCACTGTTGCTAAACTGCTGTCCAAAGCCGACAAGACCCTAGAGTACTGGACGAAAGTGGCAGAAAAGAAAGACTCAACTTTTTCGGAGGCAAATGAACAGATATCAGAGGTACTATTTCCAAGTTACGAGTACTTACCTCAACATCTAAAAGCATGTTTTCTCTATATGGGAGTTGTCACTCAAAATTATGAGATCCCTCTTTCGAAGCTCATCAAGTGGTGGAGCGCCGAAGGATTTCTTGAACGGGTTCAGGGCAGGACTTCAGAAAGTATTGCTCTAGAATTTTTGCGTGAGCTTTTGTCCAAGAATGTTTTCATGGTCATCCCCAATGAGAGCTCGGACTCGGACGGTGGAATAAAAAACTATGGCCTCCATTCTTCGTTTTGGTACCTGTCTAACAGAGAAGCTGGGAAGAACAAGTTTTTCTACAACTTGAATACCCGTGTTGATGGTTTAGCAGAAGGTATAAAAGGCCAGCGTCGACTATGCATCCACAATAACATTTTGTTCGGCATCAAAGATGTGTACAATTCAATCGCGTCAACTTCAACGGTATGTTCTCTCCTCTGTATTGGTCCACATCATCCATATCCAGTACCAATATGTTTGGAGTATTTGAGGTTGCTCAGGGTACTAGATGCTCTTACGATCCGTTTCTACGAGTTCCCAATGGAAGTACTTAATCTCGTTCATCTAAAGTACCTTGCCATTACATTCAACGGACATCTCCCTACTTTTATATCCAAACTTTGGAACCTTGAATGCTTGGTTATTCGCCGAAATCGAAGCACCGTAAAATCTCACGGGAATTCTTCGTATCTGCCTATGGAGATATGGGATTTGCGAAAATTGGAGCATCTTCAAATCATGGGAAGCAACCTACCGAAACCTCGTGAAGGATCTTTCTTGCCAAACCTCTTAGCACTCTTAGATGTGAGTGCTCAAAGTTGTACAGAAGATGTTCTTGAAAGAATCCCTAATCTGCAGAAGTTAGGAATTCGAATTGAATTGGCTCTTGAAAATGTCGATCAAAAACCATTCTTCTGCTTCGATCACATCTCCCATCTCCACGAACTGAACACACTTAAATGTGTCGTTGTGAATCCTCAAATCACGTTGTCTGAGATTGTTGCCCCAATTTTTCCTCTTTCGATTTTTCCATCGAGTCTTGTGAAGTTAACTCTCAGCGGCTTAGGATATCCGTGGGAGGAAATGAGCAGGATCTCTTCACTGCCAAATCTTAGAGTGCTCAAGTTGAAATGCTACGCATTTCGAGGCCCAAAGTGGGAAGTAGTTGGTCGCTTCGAATTTGAAGCGCTTCGAATTCTTCTGATTGAAGACACTGATCTGGTGCAATGGACAGTCGCAGACGATTACCACTTCCGACATCTTAGTTGCCTGAGCATAAAACACTGCTACAAGTTAGAAGAGATCCCTGCGAATTTTGGTTACCGTTTTCGAAAGATTGAACTAGTTGACTGCAACCCTCTGCTTGTGACTCGTGTAGAGAAATTCAGAGAGAACTGGTTTGAATTATACGAAATCTATTATCGCTGCTTTCCATTAGATCTTCATGTCTAATCGTCATGCGATGATGGGAACATCGAACCATGACTGCCACTTGGTTCCTCAGAAGGTTAGTCATTCAATTTTTAGTGGCATTATTACTGAAAATTTGAAGTTAAGCTTTGGCAAATAAATAATATGTATGTGTATATATTTCATTGAGATTTCGTCTTTGTTTTACAAGCATCTACTGAAGTAGGTATTATGCTACGGTGCAATTTTTTAATTATTATATGGTATCGATTTCTACTTTCTATTAGTACTTTAGCGATGTTTCGATTGAAATATTTGTTGTTCATTTGTTGTAGAACTCGTTCATCGAAACTTGTTCTGCTTGCACAAGTCAAGGCTGCAGCCAACATTGGTTCTTCAAAGGTTAGTTATTCAATCATAAATTGTATGCAAGAGAATCCTGAAAGGCGAAAACTATCGCGACCGTTGATCTGATTACAAAATAAAAAAACGCGTTAAATTTATATTTTGAAACAATTATTTTGAAGAAATCGAGCTTCGCTGATATTAGCGAAACTTAGGAAACTTATTATCGACTATGCTCCTGCTTTCTTTTTGTTACAGGCAATGTTTCAAGCGAAAACGCATGAGAGAAATTAACAGCAGCGTTGAGCACATGTTTGCATCTTTCATTTTCGGAATGTTTGTAATATGATCTTCGATTATTGATATCTTGTAAATGTTTGTTTGTTGTGGTTAGTTTGCCACCACCGTAGATGTGTTGCCGGGTGTTTCAGGTGCCGAAATGAGTCAAATGCACATGGTGATTTTACACCGTAGATTTACACACAATCATTTATGGGGTGATATGGATCGGACGGGCATTTAACACTCATTTTTCCGGTACAATTTATCGACATAGTGAAATTTATTATTTTTAAAAATATTTTAAATTTAGATGTTTATTATTATTAATTTAGGATAAATGTACCCGGTGAAATATAAAAATAAAAAATGTATAAAGTAATTAATTAGACATGTTCAACGCACATGCATGTTGCTAGTACCAGAAAATTCAAAATGAACTTTTACTGGTCGCAACGAGATGTTGGTCATTATTTCAAAACACATCTATCTACAAATTCAAAATTCTCTCTACTTTTAAATTCTGAAATTTTGAAACTAACAACAATTTGAATGGCCGATTATGAGGTAAAAATAAGTTTTTAGGTATTTTGTTCGAAAATGTATGTATTTCGTGTTGTTGAACACAAAACACATTTCAAAAGTTTCATGTTTTTAAAATATAGGTTTTGGCCCCCCAATCTTTTGTAAATATGAGTTTTGACCCTTCATTGTTTTAATTTTTCTATTTTCTTTGAAGTAATGTATATAAATTTTTTCATATTTATTATTACAAAATAAAATATTTTTGTTAAAATCATACCATTTTATATAAAATATTTTACTTATTTTTGCTTATTTTTTATGAACTAGGAAGATGCACGTGCGCTGCACACGTGTCTAGACAGTTATTATTTTGTTACTTTATACATTGCCTTCGGTACATTTATCGTACAATAAATATTAAATTTAAAATACTTAATGAACATCAAAATGTAAAACATTAAATATTTGAAGACATTATAAATTCGCTAGGAGGTTTCTGATTTAAAAGTTCCTAAAAAAGACTACATGGAGTCAAAATTTTCATTTTTATTCTTAGCATAATGATACTATCACTACAAATTACTTCAAGTTTGTAGTGAACCAGTGTTGCCACTTCAAATCTCTTGCTAACAATCTGAACTTGTCTAAGACAATATAATTCTTAGAACATTCGATGGTACGATTCATATAACATTTTCTAAATAAATAAAATAATATAACATAAAAAACCAATGATGTGAACTTTAATTTCAATATAATTAGTTAACACAACATCTGTTGAATGACCATCTCAACCAAAAGCTTAAGCTGTTAGTGAAATGTATCATTTAATATTAATATCTCCAATACGCTCCCTCAAGTGCAGGCGAATTACATTTGAAGCCTTGCACTTGAAATATTTTTAAATGGGTGGCTGTGGGATTCGAACTCAAGACCTTTTATTTGGCCTGGCTCTGATACCATGTTGAATGACCATCTCAACCAAAAGCTTAAGTTGTTAGTGAAATGTATCATTTAATATTAATATCTCCAATAACATCAACCCCTAATTATAGTTAAAGCCCACAGACCACAGTTATTAGGAAATAAATATAAAAAAAGTAAAAGTCTTTAATTTGATTTGTATGATATTTTTATTTTATCAAATATCAATCTAATTTAAAGGTTTCGTTATTTTTTTCAGCAACCTTATGTATTCAGCTAACCTACCTACATAGTGTAGTTTGTAGTTTTAAGGAGTTTCGATAATAATTTTATTGATCATATTCTATGTTTTAATGCATATTAGTTTAATTAAACTTATAAATACATACTTATTTGTTGTTATTAGCTTTATGCCCAGGGCATAAAACAATAAGTAGACAAACAACAAATATTAGAAGACACGAGTTCGCTTGAAACAAACTCAAAGTACACACATATCCGCAAAAACCACATTTTTTTTGCTTTGCCCAACTTGCTCCTCTCATCTTTATTCGTTTAGGATTATTGACATTGCTAGGTTTTGCACATACAGTGGGATCGTCAACATTTTAAAAATATATGTTATCAGTAGTGACGTTGTTCTTTGAGAATTCTTCAGCTGCCTCATTAGAAAATTTTGTTAACTTAATAATTACAGACATAGTTCTCCAATGATATGTAACTTTTCTGTTTAAAGTTCATACATGCACTGTGAATTTAATTTGAAATTTCACCAAGTATAGAAAATGTCAAATAATTACCTGCGACCATTTCCAATTAAGTAGCTAAGTAAATTGCAGGGTGTGTTCAAATATTCTTAAATAAATAATTAGTCCAATCTAATAAGAACACATATCTAAAATAGCAAAGACACGCGCATGATCACTATTACGATGACGACCCTGAATCTCAAGAAGCTCTCGTCTTATTATGAGATGTATTGGAGTAGATAACAGAAACACAATCAAAACAAAGAAAGTTGGATCGATCATAAACAACTTAACGGGACTACAGAAGCATATATAAACAATGCTGGAAAGAAAAAAATGAAAAAAATATTCATGCCGTCTCATATTTACATACATAAATAAGTCCTTATATTATATGCATGCAGAGCTTGGAAATTTTGAATGATTTATATTCGTTACTGAATCATTCGTTCTCAATAGACCTTATATATAGCATTTTACAATTTGCAAAGGTTTTATAATGGGACATCACCTACTAATGACTATGGCCATTTTGTTTCCCTTCCTTGTAATGTGACGGTTTCATTCAAAGTTAAAATACAAATCAAATTATTGAGCTTCTTATGTTGAGTGTGTAATGTAGGTTAGAAAATGATTCTTCCATCCGAAGAGGCTTAAGCTTGTTCGATGAATCTAAAAAGATAAAGCATCATTAATTAATACTTTTCTTGGCTTTGTAGCGTTCAGTGTATTTTAACATATCAGTTATTCAAATTAATATACATCTTTTTTTTTTTTGATAATTGAAATGCATTAATAAGGAAAAGTAAAATTACAAACATCAACGAGGGGAAATCCTCTGTCACAAAAACAATTAACAGGAAGTACATCAAACGGAATAAAACCAGTCCAATTACTAGAAACAGCCCAGGCCGCAAGGTTATGAGCAGCATAATTGGCGTTCCTTGAGATAAATTTGAAACGCCACTTAGGCCATAATGCCCAGTATCTTTTGATATCTTCAATGACGACTCTGACATTCCAGTCGATGATGCAAGAAGGGCTGTTAATGAACAAAATGGCTTCGAGACAATCTGATTCGAAAATGACTTTGGAATTTTTTGCCCAATCAATGATGGAGCAGACGTCTCTAATCGCGCAAGCTTCTGCAACAAGAGCATCCATGCATACGTGAAGGTTTGAGCTGGCGAAGATGATCGAGCCATTTTTGTTTCTGATGAGAGAGGCAGTGGTCGCTTTTCCGTCCAGGAAGGATGCATCGGTGTTTGCTTTAAGCCAGTCGGATGAGGGCTTTCCCCAGTCTTGGCAGGAGTCTTTCCCATTTTTGATGGTCGAGAGCATTTGTGATTTCCAGTGAGCCGCCGTGCATGAATCCACCATGGAAGAGATAACATTCTGTGGAGGAAGAGGCAAACCATGTGAGGTCTTTGTACATGTCATCCAAATAGAATCAAAGAGCACAGCAGTGAATATGGTAAATTCTTCACAGAGGTCCCTAGAAGGAAGAGAGAGGCAAGATTTTTTAAACAACAAAGAGATCCAATCATTAAGAGAAATCTGGTTAAAAGCATCAATACGAAAATTCCATTTTGAATTAAACCAAATTTGCTGAGTAAGAGGGCATCGAAGGAAAATGTGAGAGATTGAGTCATCCTCAGAGCCACAAAGATGGCAGTGAGTTGAATTAACAGGGAAGATGAGGCCAAGTCTCGATTGGGTAGGAATGATATTGTTTATGATCTTCCAGAAAAGGAGCTTATGCCTGTTGTGAAGTTTGGCGCTCCAAAGCTTCCGCCAGTTGAAGTGCGAGAGAGAGGAGGCAGATTCAAAGCGAGCAGATTGGATGGTGTGATAAGAACTCTTGGAGGTAAAAAGCCCTGACTTGGAGGGCTTCCAAAAGAGTGTTTTTGGCAAGGCCACTGGGGAGATATGGATTTTTAGGATCTCATTAACTACATCAACTGGGAAGAGGTAGTGAAGGAGATCTTGATTCCATAGAAAACTCCCTTCAAAGAAAAGGTCTTTCACATATGAGATGTCGTGAGGGGAGAGAGATGCAGGGGGAATGAAGCTACTGATGGTTGGAATCCAAGGATCAGACCAGATTTTGAGAGAACAACGAGGGTCAATAAGATGGCATAAACCCTTTTTGATGAAATCCTTGGACTTGAAAATGTCCTTCCAAAACCAGGAAGCAGATTGGGGACAAGAAGTGGTATT